ACACCTTGACCTCCACGGTGCTCTAGTGTCACCAGTTTTGCTTTGACAGCTGCTAAATCCTACCAGCTGCCCACCGACTCGTCTCCAAATATCTGAGATCAAGCTCTGAGGAAATGCTTTTTAATTGTTGTGCAATGTCTTCAGGTCAATTTGCGGCTCTATGTAACGTTGCAGTTGTTGTTTGCAGTGCGTTTTAGATTCCCGAGATTTGTTAATGGCCGAAGGCCAGGAAGACAAATAAGCTTGAACTGAACTGAACTAGATCCATCCCTGGTCAGCAACTAAGTCTTTAACTGCCTCTGACTCACTTCCAGGAGCCAGGCAAATGGCTGTTGTAGCATACACATTCTGGCGGTGAGGCCAGCCCTCACCTCACGTGCTTCAGCTGCTGGCTCTGCAGTGCCCGTGCCACAACTCCTGCACAGAAACTCACATTTTGAGTGGCGTGGAGAATAGCTTGCGGCTTGTGAACAAAGCAACACAGGCTTATATCAGGTCCGATTATTTAAGAACAGCGGAAGCTGTCTTGTACCAAGTCAGACCATTGATCCATCTAGCTCAGTATTATTTACACTGACTGACAGCAGCTTTTAGACAGGGGTTCTGTCCCAGCCCTGCCTGGAGATGCCAGGGATTTAACCTGCTGGCAAAACACAAGTTCTACCACTCTGCTACGGCCCTTCAAGCTTTTTCTGTCTAGTCCAACCCTCTCTTTTCTGACTGATAGCAGCTTGCCAGAATCTCCTCCAGCAGAGAGCTGTCTTTCCCATCACTTCCTGTTTGCCTCATCCTTCTAAATTGGAGGTGTCAGGGATAATAATAATAATAATTTTTATTTATACCCCGCCCTCCCCAGCCAAGGCCGGGCTCAAGGCGGCTAACAAGCAATAATAAAAACAAGTTGAATGAATACAACTTAAAAACAATATTAAAATACAACATTAAAACATTAAAATGCAGCCTCATCACAGGAGGAGAAAGGAAAAAGAAAGAGGGGGAGGGAATCAAATTGACTCCAAGCCAAAGGCCAGGCGGAACAACTCTGTCTTACAGGCCCTGCAGAAAGAAATCAGATCCCGCAGGGCCCTGGTCTCATGAGACAGAGCGTTCCACCAGGCCAGTGATGAAAAAGCCCTGGCTCTGGTTGAGGCTAATCTAACTTCCTTAGGGCCCGGGACCTCTAGGGTGTTGCAATTTATGGATAGAATCCAGAACCCTATGCATATAAGGAACGTGCTCACTCACCACACCACAAAGCAGCTGCTGTAGATGTTAGATTTTGTGTGCTATTTAAAGGTGCCAAATTGTATGTACTGTACTTTTTGTGTTGTAATGATGCACCTGGAGAGGTCACTGTTTCTACTTCCCCGTTCGAGGTCCAAAATGAACAGAGGAAGTTTTTTCCAGGTACATAGGGGTACATCTGTCTACACTAGGATTATCCATTCCGACTGGCGGTGACACCCCAGGGTCTTAGTCAGAGAGAGGTAGTCTCCATCACTGGCTACCTGATCCAGGTTTAATGCTAAGGATTAAACCTGGAACCTTTTGCATTAGAAGCATGTGCTCTACTACCGAACTATAGCAGAGAAGCAGCAGACAGGGATAGTGCTATGTGGATAATTGAGTGTGTGCTGCTACACTCCAAATCCCCATCTCCCACCACGCCTTTTTTTTAGGATGGTACAGCTGTATTACTGTCAGATTCCTGCCCCGCAACACAAGGCCAGCAACCTTTATTCAGGCTAATAGCAGTACAGGTTCCGTAGAAAGCGCTAGGTTCAGGAGCCAAGAGTTCAGGATGTGTGGGGAAGGCAAGAGATATGGCAATGGCAAGACCCAAACAGAAGTTACAAAGATGTCCCAACAACTGCCATGCACCTCCCGCCAAGCTTTTAAAGATGAGGCAGGGTATGCTCACTCATGAGACTCTCACTCTATGAGCCATCTGTGTGTGCAGCTGCCTGCTCCTTCAGGATGGGTGCAGCTGCTGCCACCTGCAAAGGCAGCCCTGGACTCACAGTGACAAGACCTCCCCTTCTACCTCCAGTGTCTCTTCTTCAGCTCCTCCCCTGGCTGGTCACAGTCCCTCCCTACACACACCCAAAGTTATGATGGGATGTGCAGAGCTTCCTGGTGGGTTATTCTTAAAAGAATGTGGTTAAAAAATTGACCTGTCTGTAGCAGCCTTGCACATAAGGCTGCTAACGTAACTAGCCTGAAAAAGTGTGCATTGGCATAACTGTGAACTTGGGAGCAGCCCCGCTAGTATAACTGGAGTGCAAGATTGTCTCATCAGTCCTGAAGCAAGTTGTTAATTTCCACATTGTTTGTACAGTGGTACCTTGGGTTATATACGCTTCAGGTTACAGACTCCGCTAACCCAGAAATGGTACCTCGGGTTAAGAACTTTGCTTCAGGATGAGAACAGAAATTGTGCAGTGATGGCGCAGCAGCAACAGGAGGCCCCATTAGCTAAAGTGGTGCTTCAGGTTAAGAACAGTTTCAGGTTAAGAAAAGACCTCCGGAACGAATTAAGTACTTAACCCGAGGTACCACTGTAAGGGTATTTTTGAAAGGGAGCCCTACCAACTTTTGGTTTTGGTTGTGTGTGTTTTGTAGTTGTTGTTGTTTTCCTACAAGAGACCATTTTCCCATTGCCGCGCAATGTGCATTTCCTGTGCGTTCCCATCCATTATCCTGAAATGGCTTTTTCTGTGCTTGTTCTTGCAGCAGATAAAAAGATGATGCCTTCAGCATCCACAGCCGGTAACCAGCAGATCTACTCTCAAGGGAGCCCCTTCCAGCCGGGACATTCTGGAAAGTCGTTCAGGTATTGTACATGGCAGCAGAATGAATCACAAGAAAGGAAACGCAATTGTGTAAGAGTCATAGATGATGACAGCCCTTGATTCTTAACAGCATCATGGCTTAATTCTCCCTATAGGAAAGAATCTCCGTGGCCACATTCCAGAAATCACTTTGCCCTGGAATCATCCACTAATTGGATTTTTCGGGATCTGAAATTTTGTATATGGGCCGCATCATGGTGTTTTTGCAAATGTAGTTGACTTGTGCTCACCTTCTGGGAATGTTGATACAATACAGTTAGTCGCAGTCTAGGTCTCTTGCCCTGATGTATATAGCTGATGATCATTTTTTGCCATTTCTTGAGGGTCTTTGCTGAAAGGTTGAGTTTGGAATAAAAATTAAAAATAAAAATTTGGGAAATGCCTTTTTAGAGAGTGACTAATAAACTTGGCTCAGGGCGCAAAAGTATAAATCTCACCTGGATACAGTAAAGAAAAGACAGCCAGTAGAATGCAGGGGGTAGGGGGTGGAATTAAGTCAATTAATTCGTGAAGTAGCGAAAAGGGGACTGCAGAGAAGGAGGAGGAGCAAGATGGAAAGGGAAGCAAACCAAAAGAGGGGCATTTTAATAGTAACAACAGCTGGGGGGGGAGGTTGAAATACAAGGTAAAGTCTGATGCAGCTTAATAGATTTATTAGTTAGATTAATTGATTAAAAACTTTTTGCCTGATTAAAAAAGTGCCCTTTTTATTTAGAAAAATATTCATATATTGCAACATTCAGCAATATAAAAACATTAAAAGGAACACAGAATAATAATCAAAATGATTATATTTCTTTTGTGTGTGCGTGTGATATAATTTTTATACAACTAGTTTTAAAACAGTGGTTCCCAACCTTTTTTTGGCCATGCCCCACCTAAGCATCTCTAAAATCCTGATTGCTGCCCCCCCCCACCATGACATATTCTTATTATTCTATTCACATGGAGGAAGCCTAAAAGGCCACTAACTTGGTCTAACTCATTCTCGAATTGCCCCTCTTAAAAATCAAATTGCCCCCCTCTGGGGCGTGTGTCCCATGGTGGGAACCGTGGTTTGGAAAACTGCAGAAGGCAGACACCGTCTTAGAAGAGGCAACCCCCTTCTCTCTCTCATTCGGATAAAATGCCTCTTCCAAAAAAGGAACGCCTGTTCTTATACACAGATGTGCATCGTCTAAATGCACATTAAACAGCTGTAACCCATGCAGCTATTCAAGTAGGATTTCATTGAATTGTGTAGTGACCCTAAATTTCAGAGCCGAAAAAGGTAACGCAGGCTGAACAATGAACAAGAAAGGGGAGTGAGGAAAGAGAGAGGGTGAGAGAGCACGCCATTCACCAGTTAGGTGCCCAGGAGAGGGAATTAGAAACTAAATGCCAGCTATGTTTTTGTAGAAACGAGTGTGGTGTGGTTTGTTTTGAGCATATAATTGATAGTGCTGTTCTTGGGAAGGAAACGCTTTTCTTGGAAAGAAAAAACCTTCCTTGATGTTTATTGCCTGAATGAAAAAGCAATCAGTAAGTAGCCCTAGAGGATATTGCCAATATTAAAATATGCTTTAATTAAATCCGATATGTGAAGCCAGGACTACATTACAGTGCAACTAATTTCCCATGGCTGTTCTGAGGTTTGGGATTCCTGAACTGTTTTCATTGAAGGTTGTGTGTAGATTTCTATGCTATTCTGTTGGGTGTCTCCTGCAACATAAAAGTGAGGCCGGTATAGTTAAGAAGTATTTATTTGCTTTTGAATGTTACATAATCATGAAAACAGACACAGCACAGAAGATCTCTGATCTCCTTTTTCTGTAGTGTTAGTAATCTGTACAGGGCAAATTTATTACAGTACATAATTTATTACATAACATAACTGTGCACTAGTATATTTTGAACAAGATTCAATTCTCCATTCAGGGAAATTCCAGAAAGGTACATCATGTCATAGAAGTCATAACAAGACAGAGATCATACAGTGCAAAGTAGTTATGTATTTTATTTTTTCCAGGTTCTTTGATCTTAAAGACTCAAAGTCTGTAACGGTGAGGCTTCCTAAGTCCGCAATCCTACACACATCTACTTAGGAGTAAGTCCCATTGAACTGAGCAGGGCTTACTTCTGAGTTTGCTTGGATATTAATACTCTACAACCCCTCAACTTGGGATAGCTCAGTTGGTACAGCATGAAACTCTTTATCTTAGGGTTGTGGGTTTGAGCCCCACTTTGGGCAAAAGATTCCTGCGTTGCAGGGGGTGGACTAGAGGATCCTCGTGGCCCCTTCCAACTCTGTGATTCCACCGGCTTAAGGCTGTATGCTTTTGAATACCGGTTTCTGGAAACCACAGAAGGGGAAAAAGTGCTCTCGTGCTCAGGTCCTGCTTTCCAGCAGACATCTGGTTGGCCACTGTGAGTACTGTGGTCTGGGTCTTCTCACTGTTTTGTTACAGTGATCTGATTCACATGGCGTGTGGACTTGGTCCAGAGAAACATGCTGGGTGAGTCTTGCCTGCCTCCCATGACCCTTAAAATGTTACACATGGGCCCTGGGGCCATGACTTTGCCGCATCATCTGACTGCCCACCAGTGAGGATCCATATCTCAGCAACAGACCACATGTTTAGTTTTCAGGCAGGAGCCATTCCCAGCCCCACCTAGAGGTGCCAGGGATTGGAGCCATATGAAGTGTGTCGGGATCTCCGCTCGGCCAAGCTGATAAAGCTCATCTTCTTCTGAGTCCTTCAGAATTGCCCTCCCGACGAATAATTAACGACCTGAGCCTTTGAAGAGGCTTCCAGGCACGTTCCCCCATTCAGCAGAGCTTCCAAAGCAGCACGCGGAAGTGATGAGATTTATGGCTACATCGCTATGCTTTATTTCTTACTACGCAGACAGCGAAGAAATATACATCCTCTCTCTATGAAAGCAGAGAGCAACTGAACAAAGGAACAAAGGAACAGAGAAACCAGTACGTCACATCCGTCTCCCTTCTCCCGTGAGACTTCCAATAGCCTGGGCTGTCTCTGGAATGTAAACAGAGCCTTGTGACTCTAAGCAGCTGCACAGTGGCAAACAGAAACTAAGAAAGTGTGCGCTCTACCACTGGGCTATGGCCCCTCTAGAAAGGTTTTAAGTACGACTGAGAGAATGCCTGCAAAGCACTTTTTTCTTTTGTAGGAAAAGTATACTTTTGGAGCATTCTGCAATTATGAATAGCATCCTTTTTGAAACCAATGCAGGAGGAGGCAATATCACCCATAGCAAATACATTAATTGCATACAGCCTTTGGTTATATCTGGACTGATCCATGTAAAACGAAGGAATGGAGGTTGCACGGCTCTGCTTAAGAAGACTGTTGCTGATTGTGTGTGCTCATGTAGGCTGAGGAGGATCTCTTGGAGTTTAAAAACACCTGCAAAAGGCTGGGGGGAGAGTTGTTTTCATCTTCTCCTTTATGCTGCCAAGATTTGAGTCCCTCGGTTGGTACTTTCTGGCTCTGTTACTGGAGCAATTCCCCAGAATTGCTGCCAGGGTACATTTGTGTGTGCCATGAGCGCAGTGCTAGCATACCATGAGAAATAAATTAAATAATTAAGAGTGTTTTGCAAGCCCAAAATATGTGCCTGTTGCATTTTTGTGTGTTTCACTGCTCCTGGCCATGCCTCCCTTTAACCAACCTCTGTGGGGGAATTCTGCTGCAATTCTCCATCAAATATGACTAGAATGTTCAGAAACGTTGCTGAATTCGTTCATCCTCAGATGAACCTGCCTGTTGCATCTCTGCACGAGTAATTGTTCCTGGTTTAATATTTCCTTCCGGTAGGCACATCCAGGTTAGTGACTTCTGCAGAAAGAATGGGCAGTGGGCATCTCTGAAGGCAGGTATTCCTTCCTCTTGCACACTCTGAAAGTATCTGTGTGCATATAAGCTACAGTGGTACCTCTACTTGCTTTCACCTCCGGTTACGTATTCTTCGGGATACATACGTGGCAAACCCAGAAGTATTTTTCCGGGTTTCGCCATGCACAGAAGCATTAAACCACGCCATGCACAGAAGCAGCACCTCCAGTTGCGAATTCCTCGGGATTTGACCGGAGCTCCAGAACGCATCCTCTTCGCAACCGGAGGTACCACTGTACTTATATTCTTGTTAATTCCTTATCAGGGTCCCTCTTCAGCTTTCTATATATCTTCATTGTAGGTTGATATAGAATACCAGGCAATAAAAAAAATCCCTGTATACTTTAAAAATATTGCCATGAGTCCTAGGAAGAAGTTTACTTAAGATCAGAGGGTTATTCTGGGATGTTCAATGCAGCAAAAGTAATAGTCTGCATTTTTTGCATTTGAGTTGTAGTCCATGTATCCCATTTGTTTAACTGGTTTACTGGTTGATTGGGAGGTTTGCAAACTGTAATTACAGGTGTTCTTGTAAACAGTAGTTTGTGTTCAACAACGTTTTCCTCAGAGCTGTGAAATTAATGAACCTAAGGTAGTCATTGATTTTGTTAGGTCTATTCCATGAGTAACATTGGATGCAACCCGTGAGCATCCTTATAACGTCAAACTCATTCCTGTTCTCTCCCTTTGAAGCTCATCTGTGGTCCACGTGCCCGGCGTCAACGACATCCAGTCGTCATCGTCAGGTGGTCAGAATCTGTCCCAGATCTCACGCCAGCTAAATCAGAGTCAAGTTGCCTGGACGGGAAGTCGCCCTCCATTTCCAGGACAGGTAGGAGAGTTATATAAAAAGTTAAAAAAAAAAGGTTTCACTTTCTCGGCCCGAAGAGAGAGGGCAGTAGAGACGGGAGTCTTACTCTGAGAGGGGACCTTCCTGTATACATATTGCCTAAAGACTCTCGCAGAGCCTGGAGCCAGCACTGGCTAACCTAGGAGAGGAGAAGGGAATCTCAGGCGCAGAGACCAGAGGCAGTCCTCAAGGTCTCTCAATCTGGTCCTTGAAACAAACCCCAAGCCCCTTCTCTCACTGGCCCTGTCTGTACGGAATGCTTTAGCCTGGTTAGATATGTTAATTACTGATTTATTGTGGATTTGATCAATTGCGGAGTAACCTCACTTGTAGTTAACTGCAATTGTTAAAATATTGTTCATGCAGGAATTGGAAAGTGAATAGCTGATGGCTAAGGATAGGTAAGTTTAACGGAATGTGTATTAGAAGCAACTAGGAAACTAAATCAGCAACAAGAGGAAACTTTGGATGCATCAAGAACAGAGTGTAGGAAACCATTGTTTGCACACACAAAAAGTATTAAATTTATTTTAATTTGTGGCTGATTAGGTAAAATTTAAGGACACGGATGGCGCTGTGGTCTAAACCACAGAGCCTAGGGCTTGCCGATTGGAAGGTTGGCTGTTCGAATCCTCCCGACAGGGTGAGCTTCCATTGTTCGGTCCCAGCTCCTGCCTACCTAGCAGTTCAAAAGCACATCAAGTGCAAGTAGATAAATAGGTACCGCTCTGGCGGGAAGCTAAACGGCGTTTCCGTATGCTGCTCTGGTTCACCAGAAGTGGCTTAGTCATACTGGCCACATGACCCGGAAGCTGTCTGCAGAAAAACGCCGGCTCCCTCAGCCTATAGAGTGAGATGATTGCACAACCCCAGAGTCGTCCGTGACGGGACCTAACAGTCGGGGTACCTTTACCTTTTTAGGTAAAATTTGGAAAAGCAATGAAAGCAGTTTGGCAAACTTTAAAAAAAGCCTGGCTGAATGTGTCCTTGAATTCTGATAATGCCTCTTCGTTCCCTGGATGGAGGATGGGGTGTGTTTGTGTGTGTGCTGTACAAAGGTAACATTTACATTCATTGCTGCACCCACGTTTGCCTCTAGTCTGGCTGGCCACTGGCATGTGGCCCCCCACAATTCCCACCCAGGAGGGAAAAGTGGCCCTCGGACAGAGAGGGGTTCTCCACCATTGGTCTGGGAAGAGTTTGTAGCACATAGCTATGCTTTGGGTTTCTTGAACTTAAACAGCCCAGAACCCACATTGCTGGAGCACAGCAACCCACCTAACTAGCTCTGTAAAGATGCTTGTTTTGCAAATAGAGATGGAAGTCTGTTGCGCCACTTTGTTCTTGGGTCAAATGCCGCAGGAAGGATGATAACGCCTTGATGTTGTTGTCTTTCAGCAAATTCCTTCGCAGTCTGGCAAGGCTCAGTCTTCTCCCTTTGCAATTGGAACCAGCCACACTTACTCTGCTGACCCAGCGTCGTACAGCCCCCTGTCCAGTCCTGCTACCTCCTCTCCGAGCGGGAATGCCTACTCCAGCCTAGCTAACAGGACAGCAGGATTTGGTAGGTATCGAGCCTGGCTGCCTCGCCTAAAACAAAAGGGCCACGAGGTACAAGGAGGTCTCTTCGACTTACTACGAACACATCTCTTGTGGATCAGGCCCATGTCCATGGCCCACCTAGTCCAGCATCCTGTTCTCACAGTGGCCAACCAGATGTTCCAATGCGAAGCCCACAAGCAAGACTTGAGTGCAGTTATGATGTGCAGCTGTCACAATTCATGTGATCTGGAGGCCCAGCAAGCAGAATGGCCAGTTAAAGAGGCTAGACAGTACTTGCACTTTCAGAGCACATTTCTACCACTGTAACAGTCATGGTTTCCCTTTCCCCTCCACAAAGGAATCCTGGAAACCATAGTTTACCTCCTACAATTCCCAGAACTCTTAAAAACCACAGTTCCCAGAATTCTTTGGGGGAAGGTCATGTGCTTTATATGTATGGTGTGGGCATGTAGCTTGCTCGACTAAACTGGTGAGCAAGGGTGCACAACCAGAAAGCAGCTTGGTTAATAATAATAATAATAATAATAATAATAATTGATTATTGATACCCCACCCATCTGGCTGGGTTTCCCCAGCCACTCTAGCTGGCGCCCAACAGAATATTAAAAACACAAGAAAACATCAAACATTAAAAATTTCCCTACACGGGACTGCCTTCAGATGTCTTCTAAAAGTAAGATAGTCATACCTCGGGCTACAGACACTTCAGGTTGCATTTTTTGGGGTTTCGGAAGCGCCAAAACCCGGAAGTACCGGAACGGGTTACTTCCGGGTTTCGGTGGTCGTGCATGCGCAGAAGCGCTAAATCGCGCTATGTACAGAAGCGCAGAAGCGCAACTTGCGCATGCGCAGATGTGGCGCTGTGGGTTGCAAACATGCCTCCTGCACGGATCACTTTCGCAACCTGAGCGTCCACTG